ATAAAATGATCTTCGAGTTTTTATAAAACGATCTTCGAGTTTTATAAAACGATCTCTCGAGTTTTATAAAACGATCTCTTGAGTTTTTATAAAACGATCTTCGAGTTTTATAAAACGATCTCTCGAGTTTTATAAAACGATCTCTTGAGTTTTTATAAAACGATCTTCGAGTTTTATAAAACGATCTCTCGAGTTTTATGAAACGATCTCTCGAGTTTAAAACGATCTCTCGAGTTTTTATAAAACGATCTCTCGAGTTTTTATAAAACGATCTTCGAGTTTTATAAAACGATCTCTCGAGTTTTATAAAACGATCTCTCGAGTTTTATAAAACGATCTCTCGAGTTTTATAAAACGATCTTCGAGTTTTATAAAATGATCTCTCGAGTTTTATAAAACGATCTCTCGAGTTTTATGAAACGATCTCTCGAGTTCTATAAAACGATCTCTTGAGTTTTATAAAACGATTCTCGAGATTCATAAAACTGTTGCGTTTACGTGTCTGCGGGGAATTTTGGCTATTGATTCCGTCGTACCGATTTTGACCCCAACAAGTTTGTGGGTTCCTAGAACCTACCCTCACTGAGTAATCCCAAATTACTCACCCTCCTTCTTGCAGGTATGATCGAGGAGGTGCAGGAGTAGAAGTCGGGATGGTGCCATCTATTTCAGTTTCGTTTTAAAGGGTTTCACTATGTTTTCTTAAACTATTGTTATGTTATACGGTTTTCATTGAATCTAGTTATTTGTAAGACGATCAAGATTGAAATAAAGAAAGTATTGGATTGAAGAAAAGTGTTGTTATGGTTAAAAATAGGATCCTAGGGACAGGGTTGTTACAATGTCCATCACGGAAACGGCAAACAGAAGTAAGTAACGTTGTTTTGTGCTTTGGTTCTAGTCTGAGCTCCTGTCTTCATTGAGACATCTGTGTTTTGTTTTTCAGGTAGAGGGAATGAAAAATGTCTGCGTTGGTTCAATGGATAAAACTCCACCAAAGGAAATAATGTGGGAGTCATTTCCACACAGATTATTCTTTGGCCGTGAATCATCAGTTACTTGGGGTGTAGGAGGAGTTGCTTTTATCAATCCACTTACTAATCTCAATGATCAAACTCACATGTGTTTGTACAAAATCACGTTAAGTGTACCTTTCTTATCTAACTTTATGTCGTCAACGTGGTTTTTTCTGCTTACTCCATTTTTTTTTAACTTGGAACAGGCTTGAGCAGTTCTACGATGTTCTGTTTCAGGAAAATGGCTTGACAATAGATTCTGATTCTCCGCTCTTTGATCTAGATTTTCTGCAATGACGTAAGCCTTCATTTGTTTGCTCTCATCCAATGTGGCCGAACGTTTAAAAAATATCACCACAGGTTTTATAAAAGAATATTTTTTTTTTCATTTAAACTTGTAGCTTCAAACTTGCAAGTAAAACATACAATGTCTCTAATTTTTCTTTTCTATTTTTGTTTGTGCTTTGTGAATGAATATGTATTGGAGTGATGGTGAAAAGGAGGCATCAGCACGTCAGCTTACCAGGCTTTCATTCCAATATAACAGCTTAAGGACATCAGGTTAGTCGCTTCTTACGCATAACTAGTACTTCTTACGCATAACTAGTACGCATTGATAGGAGAATTTGATGTTTAGATAGGAGAACTCGATGTTCATATAGGGGAACTCATTGTCTTGTCTTGATCTATTGTTAGATGATGTTGACTTGCCTTGATCTGTTGTTAGATGCTTGTTGTTTTAGAATGTTTATTCTGCTTGTTCTTAAGCACTTTTAAAATTTTAAATTTTTAAATATTATAATTTTTCAAAATATAATTAAAAATATTAACAAATTTAAAAAACCCTACCTCCACTTAGTCACGTATCTCTTAGGTCACGCCACGAAGCCGTAAGTTAGTTTAGTATTATCGAAAAAGCAATCACCAAAACATGAGAGAGCATGGGATCCAGAGACAATTCAGAAGAGAAATTCACTTTGAATACTGCCTACTCGCCACCAGCTACCTGTGACTTGGAGACTCAACAACTCATAGCCAGATTTGCTGCAGAAGATGAGATTGGTGATTTGAGAGCCGATGGTGTTAATGGTAGAAAGAAGCAAGCAAGCAAAAGAATGATCATCAGTCTTATCGATTCAGAAGAAGATTCTGATGTTGAAATCATACCCCCAACCCGGTCGAGCCAGCCTCGCAGAAAAACGACTTTTGGAACAGCCACGCGGAAGCCCATGTTACAATCCACGCTGGATGGTGGTAGTGGCTCGTCCGCACCCGCACGGGCTTGTAGTCGGAAGAGTGTTCCTTTGAAAGCCGTGATCCGGGGAGGGAGAAGAAATTCATCGCCTCGAGTCTTGTCTAGTGTGGCGCTAAAAAAAAAGGGGTCCTCTAGTCAGTCGCAAAAGAAGAAGAACAAGATTGAAGAGGACATACCAGAGTTTGATGATGATTTGTCAGAAGATGAGTTGGGTGAGGATGAAATCGATTTGCAAGAAATGGGGAATAGGCAAAGATCAGATGTGTGGGCTGATTTCAAGGTGGTTGAAAAAAACAGTGGAGATTTGAAAGCTGTATGCAAACATTGCAATAATGAGTATGCTTGGTATTCTCATTCTCATGGAACAAGTGGGTTGAGAAGGCATCGACTGAGATGTAAAATATATCCAAGGAATACTGGGAGGCAGCAACAACTCAATCCCGAGGGGAAAGTAGTAACTCGCAAATATGATCATACTGTGTTTAGGCAGCTTGTTGCTAAGACAATAGTCCAACATGATTTACCATAATCTTATGTGGAGTATGAAAAAGTGAGAGAGACATGGAAGTATTTGAATGTTGATGTCAAATTCATATGTCGAAACACGGCGAAGGCAGATGTGTATCGATTGTATGAAAGTGAGAGAGATGCACTGAAACTGGAATTAGCGAGTCTTCCTGGACGAGTCTCCTTCACATCCGACTTGTGGACGTCACTGAAACGTGAAGGATACATGTGTGTGACGGCACATTACATTGGTCGGAATTGGAAGTTGAACAGCAAGATCATGTCATTTAGTGCTCTACCACCACCACATAACGGTATGAGGGTTGCGGTTCACCTCCTTGACTCGTTGAAAGAATGGGGTCTCGAGAAGAAGGTGTTATCTATCACATTAGATAATGCTACAAGTAATGACTCAATGCAAGACATAGTCAAATCGCAGCTGTTGTTAAGTGATGATTTATTATGTGGAGGAGAATTTTTCCATGTCAGATGTGCTGCTCACAAACTTAACTTGATAGTGCAAGATGGTTTGAAGGTTATTGGAGGCGCTTTGCACAAAGTAAGAGAGAGTATTAAGTATGTGCTAGCATCGGAAACGCGGGAAGAGTTGTTTGAAAAATGCGTGAATGCTGCTGGTATAACTGAAAACGCGGGTCTGATCTTGGATGTGCAGACAAGATGGAACTCGACTTACTATATGCTTGAAAGATCCATCAAGTACCGTAAACCATTTGTTAAGTTGGAAACATTTGATAAGAGATGTTATAAAGTGGCGCCTACAGCTGAGGAATGGACGCGAGCTGAGAAGATATGCCAATTTTTGTGCCCTTTCGCAGCGATCACAAACCTGATGTCAGGTTCTAATTACCCCACCTCAAACTTGTATTTTTATCAAGTTTGGTCCATCGATGAGTGGCTTCAAATAAATGAGTACAGCGAGGATGAGAATGTCAGAAAAATTGTGCCACCGATGAAAGAGAAGTTTGATAAGTATTGGGATGAAGTTAGTTGTGTTTTTTCAATAACAGCAGTCTTTGATCCACGTTTCAAACTTTCAATTGTCGAATGTTGCTTAGGGAAGCTTGACATGAGTACACGTGATGTAAAGTTGAAGAACTTGCGCGAGAAGCTGAGTATTTTGTTCGAGTCTTACGACACAAATGAGCCACGTGAGACGGTTCCACAAAGTGTCAGTTCTGCAGGATCAATGGGACTGTTTGGGAACTACCAAGTGAGTCTTTTTAAAAATTTCCAAGCTTCTGTCTTTTAAAAATTTTCAAGTTTCTGTTTTTTTTTTTAGAAAATCTTGTGGGAGTCGATTTCACCCTACTGTCAAATAAATCGTAAATAAGGAAACTTCGGGAAAACCCTAAGTTTCCAGAGGAACCGGCTATCTGCGAGAACCGCACAACAAAGATTAAGATGACGAAAACACTTAGAATTTAAACGAAAATAAGCGAGATTGAAAGCAAGAAGGTTCTTATTCCGAATCTGCGTTGAACTGGTACAAAGAGAGTAGCCGAAAACGTACGAACTAGAAAACCCTAATTGAGACGCAGCTCGCTAACAGAAAAACGGAAAGATTCCTAAATGCTAGTTTTGGTGGTGAGAGCTCTAAATTTCTTGTGTGTGCTTCTGCCCTAGACCTCCTCTTTATATACTCCTCGTCTTGGCTATCCGATCTTTCCATTTCGCCCAGATTTGACTAAATCGGGAATTTTCCATTCTTCTCGATCCTTCCTTTTCTTCTGCGGAAATCTTCTATTTCTCTTCAAACCTTCCTTTTATCTTTAAACTTGACTTTTATTTTCTTTCTGCGAGTTAACCGTCAAAACGTTATCAAATCTGCGGGTTAGATTCCGTTGAAATCGCGAGATGGGTTTTTATCGCGTTTTAGGTCCTTCCGGGCCGTTTTGCGATGAAAACCGTTTTCCGACTTTCACGGGATCGTTTCCTGATCTGACGTCGTTTTTAATAAATTTCTCGAGTTAATCGCAAGATTTTACGATTTACTCGACTTTTTATTAAAAACACGTTTTTTACGACTTACTCGGCGTCTTTAATTAAAAGCGCGTTTTTTATGATTTCGACGAGAAATCTCGAATAAATCGTATAGTTTAGGCAATGTTCGGTGTTTCGTTCAACCGTTGCCGTTTTCTACGATTTCCTCGAGTTCTTTCCGAGAAAACGAAGTTTTACGGTTTTTATCGTAAAACTCGAACGGTAAGTCGGATCGAGATGGAACGGGAGATATTTCGGCCCTGGTTTAGAATGCGACCTTGTCGAAAGACGTAAGTTTTGAATCGGGAATGCGGGAAATCGAGACGCGGAGTGTCCGGGACGTCTCTAGTTCGCCCATCGGCGAACTAAGCCGGGACCGGGCAGTTTATCATACTCCAATTCATCGCCAATCTACCACAGTCTTTAACCAACCCGGATTATCGATCATCCGAATCCTTCAAAGGAAACTCATCTTTTTTCTTTTTGTCGAATATTTTCCCTCGCATCGAGAAAAAGCTTTCTATAAAGCAAACTTTGGCCAAAACAAGCAGAAAAATATTCGGACAATGCGACGCCTCGTCAAAATCATCCCAAAAGCAAACGACAATCTAAGAACCGTCTAGGCGCTAAATATTGATCCAAACCGTCTGGGAAATAATCTCGAGGAATATACAGCATCTCTCGTCGCAATCATGCGGTTAGAAAATCTCTGCGAAACTTTAGAGCGAAACTCGTAAATTTGCCGAAGTCATAAAGATCTTCTCGAACTTGATAAAACAAGTATAAGAATCGAAAAATTATACGAGAAATCTTTAGGCATCGAAGCATTGATCTCATTTTCCGTCAAACCAAGTGAGTCACGGAATAATGTCAAAGACATTTGCGGCAAAAGAAAAATCGAGAACACAAAGCAGCAATCGAGAACACGTCTTCCCTTCTCGCCGACTGATCCTATTGCTGATCATGTGATTCATTCCGTCCGAGAAACCCGCTAAAACATCGACTAGATCTCAGTGAAATAACTTTTGGTAAAACTCCGTGAGTGACTCCGAAAAACCATCACCGAAGAATCAAAAACTAAGCGAAAAGGTTTCTCGAAAAATCTGCGGAAACATTGATAACCCAATGCGTCGCGCCGAGTTACTAAATTCATCGCCCGTTACTTACGCGAGAAATCCTTCGTATAGTCAGGATCATATCATAACGAAGTAACTTTCGAAAGTAAACGTAACAGGTTTTGCGTAACGTACTTTCCTTATAGCGAAAACCAAGCTATACGATCCGGCACTGAGAGACCAATCAAAACTTTCCTCCCTCGCGCCACGATCTGAAAGATCTCACTCTTTACCCCTTCGGTTCACGAGCATCCACCCTCATTCCTCCCGGTTACGTCCGAGAATGAAACTACCCCGTGAACGACTCCGCACGGACTCTGCATCGAGCTTCTTAGGCTCTGTCCCCCTCTGGTAAAATAAGAAACAACTTCCATACAAAGGAAAGATTATACGAAATCTTCATCGTGTAAATCGAACCT